TTGTGTACAGACCGTTGCGACAGTGCACCGCTTTGGGTCACAAGCCCACCCGCTACAGACATGTTTGCACAGTGAGGCGCTCGGGTCCAGGAGATTGAGCTGCAGACAGGCGTGAAGATTGACGTGGACTACAGCTGCCCCTCGGCTTCGTGATGGAAACGTCTTTCGTTTTGCTCAAGGTGTTGATAAGGTCAGTTTCCTGCTTGGTGTTTGACGGAACTGGCATGAGGGCATGCCTTTTTTCCAGGAGTTGTTTGTGTCAATCCCTTTCCGCGCGGCTTTGCGCGGAGCCGACGCCGAAGAGACAACACATAAGGTTTTTGTAGGGCAAGGTGCAGCCTGCAGATTGAGATGAAGAAAGACGACGATCAAGCTTCACACATTTAGCATTGCATGTTTTTTTGGGCGTATTGGCGCCTGCCTATAACAACTAATGTCCCTCCGTTTAGAAGTAATACCCCACCCCCAACCCAAATTCCGTCAGATATGGGTTCGGTAAACCTCCCAGTTAGCAACAACATCACATCACGGAAAGGAAACTCGCAACAGTTGCCAGATTTGGCAGGTAGGCGGGTGGCCTCTCTGTCCCTTTCCGGACCCACCCAGTTCGTACATGGCGGTGTTTCTGGCAAATTTCTCAGAGCTGAAGCCATCCCTGGCCGGAGGCGCACCATGCCGCGCGTATCTCATGGGCAGCGACTCGGAGGTGCGCGTGGCGAAGCGCTTGCTCCTGGAGATCGCCAACGAGCCACCTGGCCGGGAAGCGGTCCGGGTCTTCGGAGGGCACAGGTCCCACTATGTCCCACTTGGCAATGGTTCCGTTTGAAGACCGCCAGGCGCCATGTGCACAAAAAAAGAGCGGTTGTCTTCCAGAGGTGATTAGCTTGAGCTTATGAGACTCATGATGTTTACTGTAAGTTTCCAGAAGTAGGTTGATCTGGGTTCTTGTCCTTGAGCCCATCGCTTGGTGCTGAAGTCTGGCATTCGTAATTGGATGGGTCCAGTTTGACCAGCTGAGCCAAGGGAAAGCTAGAAGGAGGTATGCCACCCTGCAAGATGATCAGGGGATTCGAATAAGCCTCTCCTGGTTGAGGAAGTCTTTTTTGATTGATTTTGGGATGAGAATCCTTTTGATAGTTCCAGATTACAATGAAATTTGTGGGACTGCCAAATCATTGCCGTTTTCCCAAATCTAAATGATCAAATACTGGGATTTGCAGTGAGGCAGGAAAGTGTTGCTTTCAAGGCTAGGGGCATTGCCTTCAGTAGCTGGCGTTTGCTTGTGAATGGACGGATTTTGACAGAAGAGTTCGCTTGTCATCTTGCGTCGCGGTTTAGGTGCTCCAATTGTCCATTCGCCGCCAAATCCTGGCACGTTGATTTCCCCCTGGGCTCCTTGAGCTTTGAATTTTGTGTGGAGTGGCTCAATGTACTGTGATCAACACGTAGGCCCCCCCCCCCTCAACTCCCCTTTTGCACAAACTCAATTGCTTCCCAGGCTTAGTATTCGAAGTGACCAGTTGTGCATTTGGAGTCCAGGAAGTCCAGCAGCAATACTTTTGACTTTTGTTGCACTGCGGTCAGGTTCCAGGAAGTCTGGCAATTCTACTTTTGGGGTGGTTTTGTATTGCAGTCAAACTCCACAAAGTTTGGCCATGCTACTTTAAAGGGGGCATAAATTCTAGGACTTCTCAAACGGGGCAACTCTACTGTTGATGTGCTTTTGTATTGGGATGCATTTTCAGGATGTGACCCGGATCATTGGCTGCATTTAGTAACAAAGCCTTGTGACAAAAATACTACTTTAAACTAATTATTATCGATGTTGTTGTTCAATTGCTGCTATATTTGGTTCCGTTTCCGGAAAGTGACCCAGATCATTGAATCTTATTTACTGTATGGGTTAGATGACCTTGCAGGGGGTACCCTTGGCTGATTGTTTTGCGATGATTTTTGAGAGAAGGGTTTAAGTACAGAAATCGTCATGAAACTGGACACGAAATTACTCCAGAGGACCATCTTGAAAGGCAGCACTTTGAAAGGCAACTTCACCCCCAAAGAAGGGTCTCCCATGCTTCCGTGCTTGCCTTGACACTTCCCCCCTGGGCCGCACAAGGGCGTGAGAACCGACACTGAGACACTGAGCCGGAGACTTTCAAGCGCACTCGGCCCAGCAAAAGAGCCTTGCGTGGGATGGACGCTGACTCATTTGACTCTTTCTATCCACTTTGCCAAGCGTGTGCAATTTTCGGAACCAAACACAGAAAGGGGGTATGGGGACATTGAATCATGTCAGGGCCGCTGGAAGCATGGCAAGGTCTCTCCAATGCGCATTCCATGTTGGGTTATGATGTTTGGATGCTTGTTTTGTGTCAAGCAATGTCAAACACGCTACGCATAGTTGTTCAGCTCGTAGCTTGTGTTGCTGGGACCCTGTTGCCCCCTTCAAAGCCGAGGTGTTGCAAACCTGGGTTTCTTGCTTTGCTGCGAACCACTCCAAGGGTACGTAGTAGCTGCTCTCAAGCAGCTTGCGGCTAGCGCGGAAGCAGTCGCGGAAGTCCGCGCACCAATGCCGGAGCCTCCGTGCGGACGCAAGCGCCTGCAAGACGCCGAGATCATTTGGCTGCTGGATGAGTTTCTGTACCGTGGGGAGGTCCATGAATTCAAGATGGCGCAGCAAAGCTTTCAGCGCAATGCGGCATCGCTGGGCGCAGAGGACATGGATGCCATCATTCCTCCCTGCCTGGAAGTCCTTGAGTTTGCCAACCGTTACATCCGCAATGACACTCTGCTGTGCTTGCTGCACGTGTCCATGGGCTGCATGGGCCCAGAGGCGCGGTTGGAGGACCTGGGCCCGGCCATGCGCCGCAATGCCGCAGTGCTGGCGCGCCATGAAGCCCTACCCATGCTGGTCCGTGCTTTGGACTACCTTCTGGGCCAGGACCTCCAGGATGCCAGGGTTGGGCGAAAATGCTTGAATCAGGCAACCTGCAACTTTTTGAAGGGGAATGAGAAGGAGGTTGTTTAAACAACAGGTGGTTCAACATGTCTGAATAGGGTGGTTGGCCCAAGTTTGCAGGATGCAGAGGATGGCATGTTTGAGCGCGAATTCCGCCTCGTTCTGAACTGTATCTACCTGCAAGTCCTGTTCAACGAGAATGATGAGCATTTTGTCAGTGCCATCGAGAAAGGTTGCGGTCGCATGGGTGCATCGCTGGCAACCTTGTTATTTGAGGCGGCCCTGAGTTGCTCAGACTCCGACAAAATTCTGCCAGTGAAAAAGATCATGCTGTTGTTGCTGCGGGTTTTGCAGCGCCTCCTGGACATTCCGGACAAGGTGTTGTACCCATTGCCTGAAGAAGGCGGCAAGCGGGCTCAGCGTCCAAAGGTGATGGATCTGCAATCATTTACCGCGTTACATATGCACCAGACGCTCATCCGCTCAAAGTACAGCGGCAGAGGTTCCCCTGCTGCAGTGGATGAAGGCTTGTGGCTGGCCGAGCAGTACGAGGACGAATTCCTGGCCACCTACCCGTTTCACCCCACGGAGTTGGACTTCATGAAGCAATCTCCGCAGCTCCGGGACGCATATCTCAGATACCAGGAGCTCCGCTGTGCTACTGGCATTAGCACTGGAAGCAGGCTTTTGCCTCGAGGCGCTCGGCCGAAGCAGGGTGCGCTGGGTGCAATGGTGCCATCGCAAGCAGGTGCCCGTTCCCAAGACATAGCTTCAGGCTCCGAATCAGCAGCTTCCAGTTCTAGCCGGGCTGGAAGCCTGTCTGCTCGCTCGCAAGAATCTGCCGCCACAGAGGTGCAACTGGGCGATATGGAGGTTGAGCCACTGGCTCAGGAGTGGAGGGAGACCGAAAGAGCGTCGCCCTCCCTGCGCTCGGCAGGCACTGCGCGCGCGACGCGCGTTGCCGAGCCCGATCTGTTGGACGAGTCGCCGGTCTCAACGTGGAGAAGGCTGTACGTAATGATTGCCCCGCGTTTGACGGAGCTGGTGGTCTTCCTTTTGCGGCTGTTGCTCACTTCCTGTTCCAATGTGGACTCCTCTGGCGTAGACTTCTCCCTGGAGCGGCGCGCGGGCGACATGCAGGATGACAAGGAGTGCCCCGAATCCGTGGAGGCGCAACGTCACAAGGAGATTTTGGCAGCTTCAGTGGCAGGTGTTCTGCTGGTATTGCTGAAGTCAGCCAAGCGGTCCGCCGCGGAGGAGTTCACCTTTGTGGCGCAACTGATCGCAGATTCCAACGGTGCCCTGGTCGTGTTGAAGTACTTGAACCAGGATACCAACCAAGAGCAAGCCATTCCGCCAGTCTTGCCTTGCTTGCGAGCTGGGAAGCTCTCAACCCGGGAGGGCCTTATGTCTTCATATTGGCAGGCATGCGGCACCCTGAGGTTGGTTGAGGTCTTGTACTTGGTGTGTCGCGACTGCCCCGAGCGGGTGCGCAAGTACTTGATCAACTATCGCGCGCACTTCATCCTCAAGCGCCTCAACCGAGTTGAGAGTCCGCGGGCTGAACGGCTGGTGCTGAAACTGCTGAAGAAGCAGGTCAGATACCTCCCTCGAAAGTGGAAGCAAGCCAACATGAAAGTAGTGAGCGCCATCTACTTGCAGGTCCCCATGTCTCCGCTGGAAGACTGGCTGCTTAATGAAGCATTGGGGGAACAGACCATGGAGGGGCCCCCGGCGAAGGAGACTTCCGAAGAGCACCCGGAGGCGACGCAGCTGGCTCCGGTTTCGACTCCGGCGGCGCTTGGCTACGTCCATGCCTTCCCGGAGTATGTCCCACGGCGCTAGTGCGCAAAAGAGCGGCTCTCAAACTTGGCGTTGCTAGGCCAAGATGCTCAGCTTCGAAGTGTCGATAATTAGATTTGGCCGTGGTTGGGGAAACTAACCTGACTGAAGACTCTTGTTTTTGGGGGATCCTCTCCCTCAAGCAGCGCAACTATCACGACGTGTCACGGCGCATTCCTCGCAAATGCCTGATGCGCAGGCAGCTCTGTTCCTGGCGGATTTGCCGCAGCCTGTGGAGGTAGGGCGCAGAACAGCAAAAACCAACCACACGTCATGTGTTTTCCGCTTGGTTATTTGCATGCAAAACTAATCGCAAAACTAACTATAGTGTATCGCAGCATTAAGGGAATGGACCGTTTCGGCGGCTTAGCAAAGCGATTGCCTTGTGACAAAGTCCGAGTCTTGCCACTGCAAGGGCTTTTCGGCTGTAGTAGCAACCGCCGTGCCATGAGCAACCTTTGCATCAACTGACTTTGCTGTGAGCCTGTTTACCCATAGCTTCTCCACGTGGTGCCATCCTTGAAGCCGCATGTTTTGTCACATCAGGGTCGCTTGTGATGTGCGTATCTGAGGCCATCCCAGAGGCATATGCAGAAACCCACGCTGTTGGAAGAGGTGTGTGGGATTGTGTCCCTCATGAACTGCGTGTTTCTCTGGAAACAGTTGCCTTGATACTCTCCGCCTGTATGGCTGCACCACTGTGTCAGGAGCGAGCCTTGTTCGTTCGATCCTAAACAAGGAAGAAAGTCCGTTCAAAAGGAGCATACAGTATTCTGCGGGAAGTCTCTGTCAGGTTCCATCTGAGTTTCTGCATGTGTTGGCAAATGGCTGTGTCTTTGCGTGTGTGAGGGCGTTTTTGTGTCACACTGACTCTTTCTCTGTCTCTCTCTCTCTCTCTGCGTTTGTGTGTTTGCATGTGTCTGTCTACGAGCATGATGTTGTGAAATTTGCAGCGAGCTCACCTGACGATAAGACAATCTCACTTATGATGTTTTTGCTTGGGGATTCTGAATTCCAATTTGTGAATTGTAATTTGATTAGTCAAATTGGTCGGTGAATTGTATTCAGAATTCATACATTCCGATTTGGAAATGTGATTAAGCAGACATGGACAGCTGGATGATTGTCTTGGGCTCATGGGAAGGCAACGCATTGGAAGCGTGTGAGAAGGCATCCAGCATTCCGAGGGCATTTCCTGTGCGGCGCAGGAGCGCGAAGGCCAGGCAACGCCAGCCGCGGGTCCTGAAGACGCGCCGGTGTTGTCCGGAGCCCCAGCCGCACGGGCAGACCGGGGTCTCCACCAGCTGCCAAAGTGACTTGGATCAACCAATCAAATAATTCAACTCAAATCATTTTCAATCAACTAACAACCAAGCAAGCAAGCAAGCAATCAATCAATCAATCAATCAATCAAGCAATCAATCAATTCACCCCACCCTACCCCGCCCCACCATCAATTCAGTTTGGAGGGCCATCAGTGTCCAACTCTACCTCCTCAGTAGAAACTAGAACTTGGCACAGGCGCTCCTGTTTTTTTTCCTTGGTTTCCCCTTTGAAACTCACAACCAAGCAAACAAGCAAGCAAGCAGGCAGCAAGCAAGCAAGCAAGCGAGCAAGCAGGCAGGCAGGCAGGCAGGCAGGCAGGCAAGCAAGGAGGAGTCCGTTTGCCCCTAGCCATTGCGGAGTTGGCGGCGTCTTGCAAGCCTTTGGGGATCTCCTGCCAGGCCCATCCAGCGCAGTTTTACCTACCTCGCACTCGCAGCTTTAAATGTTTGTTCTCCAGAATGAGTGCAGTCCATCATAGTGGGGGTTTCGCTGTTGCGTTGCGGCCATGTGCTGGCGAATGCACCCAGAGCTGTGGTTCAGCGACGCCTCATGTGTCTAACTTGTTTTTTCCTGTTGGTCGGCTTCTGAGTTGGAGACCAGCAGGACAGAGCCTGCTTGTTGTCATGACCAATGGACCATGATCAGCACGCCAGACCAAACGCACGTTGAACATATGAGCGGTCACAACTTCAAAATTTGTCCGGGAGCAGTCTGGCTTGGTCTCAGCCAGCTAAACACCTCCAGCTCGCCCCGCCCGAGGGCTATCTCTTCTCCGACTCCCGCACTTTCTCTCTCTTTCTCTCTAATTAATTATACCTCTCTATCTTTATCTTTCTCTTTCTCTTTTGCTTTCTTTCTGTATTTTGTTTCTCTCTCTCTCTCTCTTTCTCTTTGAGAGTCTTCCTCTCCCTCTCTCTCTCTCTTTGGCTCTCTCCGTCTGGGGCTCTGGCCCTCCCATACTGGCGGCGTTTTTGAGGTTCGGCTTCACTGCCTCACTGAGCCGGATCACGTGCATGCTGCTGGGCGAGGTGGGTCCATTCGCCTAGCTGTCCGGAGATTGGGGACTTAGAACATCTCCCAAAGTAAACTGGGAGATGTTTCATGCTGTGTTGCTGAGGCTGCGAGATGTTTCATGTGGCAAGAGCAAACTGGGAACGTTGGGAGTGTGGCTGGAATGGACGACTGGCACTGGCGACAGTGTCGTCTCAGGTGACTCAGTTGAATGTCATGTGATGACACTCCACAGCAAGCCGTGCGTGCCGAAATGTTCATGCTTCACGCACCGGGAAGATGGAATGGGCGTTGATCTGCTTTCAAAGCATCAAGCCAGCCTTTGATTTGGCCCAAACCTTGTGACACCACCATCTATTTCAAGGGACCTGTGATGCTTGGCACGGAACTTCACGAGGTAGAGTGGTAAAGGAAGTTGAGTTATGCAGCGTGCTGATGCGATGCGGGTGTCGCCTTTCCCTCAAATTGCCGGGTTGATGGCACCAACCAACTTAGATGGTGAGGTACACATCGTACTATCCATTTTCTGGCACTTGATTCACCCATCACCTGGCTGACCCGCAATGGAGTAGTCAGATAGATCGGCCAGGAAGCTTTGGAAGCAGATCCTTCAGGACCCGGGCTCCAACTTGGCGTTTGGAAGGCACTGAGCGATCTTGGCATCCAGTGTTCTCACTTAACATCGTATATATATATATATATGTATATATGTATATATATATATATATTATAGCCAGGTGTTTATTCATGTTGTCAATCTATCTACACACTTATGAGCTCAGGATATGTTCAGTATCTAATGTTGGTGGGAACTGGAGATTATCGGAGTATTTGTCTGAATGAATATTTGCTTTGGGTTGCATGACCTCGAGAATAGTGCCTTTGCTTATCTCGTCTCCATGAATTTGCTGTTGGACCCTGACCTTACTGACTGGTCAGACGCAGATGTTTTCCACATTTTTATGACCTTCGTGCCTGAAGCAGACAAAGACTGAGACGACTTTTGTTCCACTGCCCCTCGAGTGTGTGGATGGCGCGAGCATGCTTTTGCACGTGTCAATTGCCAAGGCTTTTTAGTTCCTTCAGGCCCAACAAGTGGCTTGGCTTGAACGTGATTGAACGTGTTATGAGTGTTTCACCCTGCCTATGCGGCTCGTATCTTGTAGCAATGGTGCTTGCAAGGTGGACAAGCTTTGTTCAGCTCAACGCTTTACACCAATCACATCAACGCAACCGTGTTGCACAAGCAGGAGCACCACGCGATTTGCACATTTCCCATCCCCATAGCTGATTTAGAATGAGACTGCCACACGTCAATGGAGCATGACTGTTTGGAGCACAGGGGGTTAGGGCTTGAAGATGTATCATGTTTTCCCCAACCGAGTGTTTGGGCGTCATACTAACTTGGGGGGGATGGCACTCATTCACTCATTCACTCAACCGCTTTGTGCAAGGGACACCGCTTAGTGCTAGAACCATTGAAGGGAAGATGGTCAGATGGTCACAGTAGAAGCGTAGCTCATGAAATGGGTTTGGAGATGTTAATGTTGTCGGCCTCTACACGGACATGCGCTGGAAAATCTCGGAAACTTGCGGCGGACCTTAGGCTTACTGAGCTTAGCTTGCATATGGGCAGCATGTATAGAGTGCTTGCATGCAAGCCCATGACGGGGTGGAATACATTTGTGGAATAATATTGGGTTTTCCCACACAAACTATGTCCATCTCCACTTGTTTTTGGCTGGCTTGCTCAGGCCGTGAGCCAACTACCTATCAACAGAGGTCTTGAGGTTTTTGGCTCGGGATGAGCTACGAGCAATCATGCTGCGACCACGTCAGGATGGCAAACCTTTGCTCGCCTGGTCTGGCCAAGCTATTGCTGCTTTGACTCGTTCCATCGATTGCAAGGCTCGGGTCAAGTGGGCTGCTGAACCTCACACACAAATTTAAGGCTTCCGATTTCCACGGCAGGTTTCGCTGCCCTTTCGGCTTTCGAGGACCTCGGATAGCAGCCTTGCAGCTGTCATTGATGTCATGCAGCCGGGGTCCTTAGCCCTGGCGTTCCAGGCAGGGACCATGGACCGGAGGTTCAGCCGTCGTGTACATCCCCCCGACCCCACTGGGCTGCATGACCAAGTGCTTCTTGTTACCACTGCAGCGCAGTACGCAACCAAGAGAACTAGAGGTAAAAGTATTCTGTTACCATGCAGTAGCGACTGCAATCACTGGGTGACACACGGAAGAATTCAATCGAACTTTGCTATTGGCGAGTCCTTGCGCTTGCAGGCACCAAACCTGTCAGCTTGAATTGAATCCAATTGTGGGCTGTTTTGGTCCCAGGTGGGGGACATGGTGGGAGAGCTCCGCACTAGCCATGGGTTTGTGCAGGAAGCATGCTGAGCCATTTTTACTCAGGTGAGGTGGACGCATTTAATGGCTTTTCTTTAAATGGGCATGCCGGCATTTCGCAAATTTGGGCCCCCTGTTCGATGGGTAGAAAAGGAATGCAAAAGGAGGCCAACCAGTTTGAGGGGTCCGTGATTTTGACAAAGATTTCAATGTTTGATCGTTGCCTACCCAGATTGTTTAGAACCCCCCAGGAGCTAAAGGCTTATGTGAGCCCAGGACAACAACAGGCTGGATGCGACAAAGTTTGGCCGCTTGCCCTTCCGCCATCAAACGTGGGTGGGGGAAACCGGCGGGCTCCATCCCGAGGTGCGCGATTCGCACGGCAGGGCTGCTTCCTCGCTCAGGACGTCACCAGATTGCCTTGTCAAAATCACGTCTTTTCAGCAGTCAGGTCTTCCCGGCAAGCTACGCACTCTAAAATTGTGTGTTTATCTTTCAGCTTTTGAACTTGCCGGCTCCAGCTCTTCCTGTTTGACCCTCCAAGAGTGGAGCACACCTAGAAGACATGAGTGCTAGAACCATCACATTTCCCTCCCTGCCAAGTCCAAAGGCACAAACTTCCATTAGAATGCAACCAGCATGCATATGCTGATTGACCTCGTCCAATCCTGTCATGGCTCGTCGGGTGAGTTTCAGCTCTCAGTCCAGCAAGGGCTCGTAATGTTTGAAGCTGAAGAATCCGCTGTTCCTGCTTGAGCTTCGCTCTGGTCAAAGTCCGCGCCTCTTTGGTGTGAGGCAAGTATGGGAGAGTTCAACTCAAGCAAGGCGTCTAGGCAGATCCGAGCCACCTCTCACCGTGGAGCTAAGCTTGTTGTGCTGCACCCTTGCCGTCTTGGCTTCTTGCCTTACTCTCAAGACAGGGACATGCGTATGTTTATCCGGAACGGGAAAGCAACTTGAGCAACTTTCTGAGACACAGCCCGACCAAGGTGCTGAACTCAATCTAACGGGCTAGGCACCCAAAGCGGGGTAGACCAGCAGCGGCTCAAGTAACTATGAGCCAACCGTCCCAGCCCCACGTAAGCTACGATACTCCAACCACTTGGTTATAGCCTGCAAGCCGAAAGCTTTAGAGCTTCATGTGAACTGCTCCAGCCGAGGTTGGATTTGTGTTTTATTGGCTTTGCCATTGCAACCATTGGCTAGCGTCCCCTGGACCACGTCGTTTTGCTTCACCACTGAAAGCAAGCTCACAAACAATGAAGGGCCTTCAACCAGGGATTCGTGTTTCCACTTTGGGACTTGTGCAGATGCCATGGCTCCTACTCCTAATGCTGGCGCCTTTAGCTCACGCCGCGCTGCGCTGGGGGGACCCCAGCTGCTGGCGCGGCTGGCAAAATCACCAGCTCTGCTGCTATCCCCAGGCGGATGGAATGCCCCGCGCCGTTGTGGGCTGACGGTATTGGCTCAGAGGGATGGAGTCAGGAGCCAGGGACCTCGCAATTGCCGCCTTGGCTTCGACGTTGAAGTGTCAGCGGAGAACATGTATGTTTATCAAGCTTAGCTCCTTTGCGAGTGATTGAGCGGTCCCCTCTGAAAGGGCGAGTGTCTTCCAACATGCCTTCAACCCTTATGACTCTGAGAAGCTAAACCCTGGGAGGAAGAAGCCGCTTGATGGGAAGGCTGAGGGAGATTCGGGGGCAGATATTTCAGGCGGATATCTTTGAGGCTTTCATGGCGCAGCGTTATTGCAAAGATGACTGCACGTGGGGAAGAAGGATCGTTATGAGGCTTGCTAGGTCAGCTTTATTCAGCTGTTTCGTTGCTTGCTGTTAGCTGGCACAAGCGAATGCAATATTTCTGAGCCAGTTGGTTTGGCAGGTCTGCTCAGACTAAATGCTGACAGCAACCTTTTCAGACAACTGCTATGCTTGTAGTCGGCCTTTGGTTGCTGGTGTCTGGAGATGGCGGCTTTGAGCTCTGAAAGCGGGTGGTGTTGGTAAGACTACACAAGAACCCGCAAGCCATCTCCCTAGACTGAGACCTGAGATGTGGCAAGCATGAGGTTCAACCTGGTCGAACTCAGATCTATAGCGGGAACCCCTTATTTCATGCGCAGATCCAGCTATGAGCCAGCCAAGCGCCAGGTGCGAAATGTTCAGGAGCTGCGGGTAGAGGAAGGCTTCGACGCTTGCTGGACCGAGGGCCGCAACGTGAGCCGCTGTTGCCGCCGCAGCGGGGCCTTCTTTATAGCCGGGCCGGTAGATTGCCCGGTCTCAGGAGGGGTCGCCGAATTGATTGGTGTCCTTTGGGCAGGCGACCACCAACCGCCTTCAGTGAACGCATGTTTGTGGACGAACAAGCAGGTAATGCCCGCACCGTGAATCATTTTGAAGACAATGCCAAGCACATGCACTTCAGCCTCCAATGGTCTCATAACCCTCGTTAGTCCTTGTGTGTCCGCAGATAGGCTCCCCTGTTTGGGGGCTCCATAAGTAGCCACTACGTAGGGTCAGCAAGAGAAATCGCAGTTTAGTATTGGTTTGGAATTGGCATAGTCTAAATTGAGCATTGGCGACTTTAGATTTTAGAAAATCCCGGTGTTATTTTTAGGGACCTGTATTTTAATGGGGAACGGATAATGACCCGACCCATGCCGTCCATATCCCCAAACATTCAAGACAACAGGCAAGCCCGGTTGCTGTTTTGCTAAACGCCCATGCCAGGTTACATGTTTCCAGCTGCAATGTTGGTTCAAGAGGCTTTCCTTCTGGTGCCGCCCAGGATACTTAATTACATGAGTAGCTGGCAATTGCGCAAATCATGCTGGGGCTAGTAAACCACAGCTAAAGCGCGGACAGATGCTGCTTAAGCCTGAAATCCTGTGCGCGGAACCTGGTTGTGACACCTGGGTTTGACAAGGCTGTTGTGTTGTTGCAGCTTGACCAGGTTCATTCCGGCATGCTGCCTTGCACCACCAAAGCATGTGATCGGGTCGCATTGGAGCTCCTTTGTTGAACGGTTCAGAGTGCACGCGCGCCGTTCAAAAATGGCAATGCACTCTCCCACGCGAAGGTTTGAGAAAATACACTTTTTTGACGGGACCCCCACTTAAAGGCGGCTGAACATGCTGCCAGGATCTTCCTTTCTTGGACACCCCCGCATCGGCTGAGGTGGAGCGGCAAGCTCCGCCGGCGGTGAAGGCCATGTTCCGCGGCTGTGAGGCGAGGGCCTCAGTGCGATGGACCCAGCATTTGTTTCGTTGACCTTTGGGTTTTACTTCGAGAGAAACATTTTGGAGCGGCTCTTCCTTGCAAGCGGGCGGATCGTGAGACTGGCAACAGGGCTGCCCCTGGCCGCTTTTTGCTCTCAGTTTTGGATGTCTTTTCAAAAGTCAAGTTTTAGTTGAACATTCCGTAGGCACTTTGTGAAAGCACGACAAACCCTTGTCCCTGCGGTCACTTTCATAGACTCAGTTTCTTTAGTTCCCGGCAGCTGGAAGCTATGAGGTGTCTGACCAAATAAGCTCCGGAGTGGTGTGGAGCAACTCCGAGAAAGGGTTTGAGGTTCGTTCGATTCGGGATGCTTTGAGCAGTTGTTTTGGTAGACCCGGAGGTGCGCAAGAGTGGGTCAGAGCCGCTACCAGGCAGTTCCCAGGTCCAGAAGTTCTACCGTGTTGGGGAAGCCGCAGCTTGTGTTCCCTCCCGAGGCTTTGCCATGGCAGTACTTCCTGTTCAAGTTCCGCATGGCCTTCTGCTCGGTGGGGATTGAGCCGGGGCAAAAAGCTGTCGAGAGGGACTCTCGTGCTCTGCTCAGAAGCACCTTAAGATGGACATGCATTCCTCAACTTGCAGGTTCAGACAACCAGCGAAGAAGTGTGCGGTGTGTAGGGCACATTCGGGTAGCCTGTGCCCCAGTTTCATGTACCCGGTCAGTTTACCAGGCGCAGTGCAGATGTGTTGGTGGGCTGAATGGTATAAGATTAATAAGGCAATAGTGTCTTTTGGCATTCTGTTTCAGGGTGAATTTCTCTTTACTTTTCGTCCGGGTTCACCTTCATGGCAGGGAGCCGCGCGGACATTTGTGCGCCCATGATTCTTGCGGATTCATTATGGTGGTTGCACTGTGGTATTTACCGGCCGGAGCGGCGAGAGGTGTGGACGAACAAATCCGCAGCTGTCAAAAACTTGAAGCTATCGAACTAAACCAACGAAGCCCACGAAGCACGTCATCAGATCGATGTGGTCGCCGAGGCCGCCGGCCTTCTCTACAACTTTGACCGCATATCCTCCCAATGGTTCCTCAGCGCAGACCTTTGGCTTTCTGAGTTTGCATACTTAGTCGCGGTGCACAAAAGGCATAGATTTGATCCACTTGACTCCTGCTAATTTTCCTCTTCGGATTGAAAGTTACGGAGAAGACGAATTCTAGGTCCCTGGAGCCAAGGTTCACCTACTTCGACCTGGAGCCTTTGAAGTCTCGAGGGGGAGAGGCCCGCGGGCCCTGCCCCGTGGGCCAGGCGCTCTATGAGTTCATGGCGCGCCCCGGAATCGAACTCGGTCGTTCGAAACAAACCCACTGGGCTGAATTTGACCATGACCAAGAACTCCAAAACCTGCACTGCTGAGGTGAAAGACACCCATGACAACATGGCTAGTTGGTGTCACTGTGCTTGCTGAGAGGTTCCATCCAGGTTCTGCAGATGGAGTGCTGGGTACAACCAAGGATGACTTCTTGCTTTGCAGCGGCGCTTCATCAGACCAGGTTGGCTTGCTATAGGGGTACGATGGGGTACGCCACGCGTTGTTTGACGAGATCAGAGTTGGATAAGCCTGCCATTTCTTTGCTTGGATCCCAGGACCAAGATCTTCCGAATTCCCGCCACAAGAGCCAATCCGAATGGGGAGTCCTAAAGAGGGAGGGTGTTTGGGTTTTCCTCTAAGACCACACAAACATGGGCTTTCCCAACATTCTGACGGGGGTTCCTCGGATGTGGTGCTTCTCCATTCCGCCGCGCTGAGGCAATATTTGGCCGAGAGCTTCGCGCCGCTGCCAGAGCAGGCGTTCCGCCGCCTACAGATGGCTGAGGCCAGACGGAACGGCTGCAGATGGCATGGTACCCTCTTTCGCTCAGAGGGTTTTTACATGATGATCCGCAAGGGTTGATCCCTGCAGGGTTTTCTGGGACACTGGGTGCTTTGTTTGTTTGGACAAGGGCCAGGCGCTTGACTAGAACCTGTAGGCGCGAAATGGTCGTGTCCTGGTAGACAACCGAGAACGTCCAGTTGGAGCGCGTGTTCAGTTGTGATGTTGCCACGAGGGTCAGTTGACCAGCATGGGTTGGCAAACCAGCCTGGGCGGTACTGGGCCCGGGTAAGAAATTTTATACCACGATTTATTCAGCAATCTTTCATTTCGCAGGGTTTGTCATAGGATGTGGTAGCTTGGGGTTGGTGAGGCTGGCTTAATGTGTGTGTTGTGTGATAGGCGAGGCTGTCAGCAAAGCCATCGCATCAGGTTCCGGGCTTTAATGTTATTGTTGCCATTGCGCATGAGCCCAATGTTGGTCCTCATTGATGTCCGCCGAATATTCAGAGGCTGCATGTCTTCATGTTGCTTACACTGTCAACCAGCCGCCTATTCGGTCGAACTTGTGTCTCCTTGTTTGGGTCTGAAGCGACACCAACCAGGATGAAATGGTTCTTTCGTGCCAGCTTGTCGAGGGCCAGCACGAACCCTGCCTTGAAGGAGGCAGACTAACAATGTCACAAGTCATGTCAAAGCTGCCCTCCGCCCGCTTCAGCCAGGTAAGCTAGCCTTGCCACATCAGGCACCCCATTCGCAAACGCATCCAATTTCCGTCCGGATGACGGAACGGTGTCAATCATGTTCCAGCTGCCTACTCACATGCCTCGGTTCCTTCCCTACCGTACCCCTTAGCATCCAAATGCCCAACATGAGATTCCTCCAAAACTGGGGTAGGCTTGTTGCGTTCCAACGTTGGAGCCCTCAGCCCGTGTTTCGACAGATGGCGCTGGCCGGATCCGGGGGCTTGTTCCCGGCGGTGGGGGTGACTCTGGAGCAGCTTGAGCACCTCAGGCCGAGCAACAAAAACATGCGCAAGACCGGTTGTCGTTTTCATCGGGAGGCTTTTTTGGGCTTGTTGCCAATGTCAACCGAAAGGATATCAACTATGTTGGAGACCCCCTTGCTTCAAGACAAACAAGTTTCCGCCAGTCCAGTTGACTTTGTTCTCTTTGGTTTCTTGTTGATTTCACTTTAGAACCTTTAAAGCAACCCCGCAGACTTCAGTGAATCTTCATGCCCAAAAGTGAATGCAAGAAGTCGCCCTGCTTAGCTGGCCGCTTCATTCGCGAATGGTTTTTTGGCAGCAAGAACTACAAATGCCAAAGGTGACCCTTGTGACTCACGTCCACTGGGCAAGCAGAGGGCATCTGGCAGCCAATGGCGCCTGGTACTGTAAGTGCCGTTTTGGCCTAAATACGTAGAACGGGTTTGTGTGCCTTAAATCCGATTAAGTCATGCTTATAAGCAAATACTGAGTGTACTTTGCATAATGTGGTCGCAGGTTTCATGCCTATACGGCTTGCCTTCAGGCTTGCGACTTGAGCCACGAGAGTTTGCGCTTGCCATCCGGCCCTTGGTAGGGAAGTTGTCTGGGGATGCTGGAAGGATCATGTTGAGGCTTCTGACATCTGAATTCCACATTGAGGGTGCTGTTGAAGTTTGTGTTTGCTTGCGGGCTTGTCTGTGTTTGTCTTTGTGTGTCAGTAGTCTTGGCTTGGCTTGTGGTTGTGCGCATTGGTTTGCTTTGGTGTGTGCTTGCTCGCTGTGTTCTTTCTCGGTTTGTTAGTTTTGTTTGTCCTATTTGTTGCTTTTCTGTGTGTGTTTGTGTCCTTGCGCTTGTTGTTTCTGAGAGTGATTTAATGGCGGGTTCGGCTTCCTGCCAAATTGGGGGGCTAAACAAATTCACTTGGCTCATGCTCCTTGACGAAGTGCTCTGTTAGTTCTTCGCGCGGGCTGCCACCTCTTCAACCAGTATTTGGTATCCTATCAATGTTGCGTGTTGTATTTTGATTTGCCTGGGCTTGTGATATGTAATTGGTATGTTTGCCCTTCTTTGTAGAATCTACAGTACTTCTTCGTGTGTGTGTGTGTGTTTACTGTTCTATCTCTTGTGTCGCATAGACGTGCGCTCTGATTAGTCTCATTTCGGTTCGCTGCTGCTGCCGCTTGCAAACAAAAGTAAATCCCTATTACCATTCGCAAGGATGCCTACTTTTCCTTGCTTTTGTCCGTCACCAACAGCGGCCTTCTGCTTGTCAGCCGGGGACCTATCTTGGTACTTGCGCCTGGTGTCCTTGTCCGCCCTCGGAATTGAGACCTGTCTTGGCCAGGTTTCTACATGCGCTCCAAAACCGCTTGGCGGGCAAACGGGCATCACCACGCATTGCCAGGCGAGGCAGCGAGAGGGAGACAATCGAAACGGATATGCCTGGGTTATCGGGTTTGGGTAAGCCCCTATCAGTTTCTGTTCGTGCAGGATATGGGCATGGGTTAAGAGCCCGTACACCCAGTGACCATCCCAATGCCGACTAAAATGGGTGGTGCACCTACCTCAAAATGGTACCATTGGTTTTGACCCGCAACCATCTTCATATGCGCCCTACAGCTGTGCGGGATTTTGCTTCGGTTTATGTCCACTGTGGGTCACTCGCGGTTGGTTCGCGAGTTGCAGACACATGTCACAAGGACTTCTCGCCTCCCAGAACTACACGGACGCACACACTCACCCACTGCTACCTGCAATCTTTGGAATAACTTGATTGTTGGCCCGCACACATGAATGCGAGCAATGACATGGTCATACTTGGCCACATGTTTTTGTTGTTTTTTAAACATATATTTTACTTTACTGGCCAGTATGCGCGCAGCTGCATAGCCCGGCGTCCACTCTCTTGCCATCGGATACTTGCATCAGGCGCCCAGCTCAAGACGACCATTTGAGTCATTTGAGATGATCTTTGCGTGGCTCTTTGTGATGAAGGGTAGTGTCGCGCCAGAAGGTGCCATTTGTGTGGCTGTTGGACTGCCCATAGCTTCGGACATTGGATCCCAACTAAAGGCTCTCCCTATCCCCTCCTGCATACGGCTCGGCCTCAAGGGGGCCCCATTCCTGCGAGTTAGGCCAGGCCTATGCTTTTGGCCCTTTCCAGCGGCCCGGATACGGTGTGCTCTCCAAGATCCAGGGGCCTAAAAGCTACTCACTCAGCCTCATTTGACAATTATACAGTAGCGATACAATCATTTGTTCGTAGGCTTGATAGCTACGATTGTTTTGTTTTGCTTTGCCTCGCTTGTCAAACCTTTCATGTTTGCACTTTGCGAGCTGGACCCACTGGACTCCTGGCCCGAGGCACGGAGCCTCTCGTGCCGCCTTGGCCTTCGACTTCGGGGCCTCCGGGGGCGTGGACACGGAGACCTTGCGCCGCAGCGGTCTGCAGGTGGTGGCGGTGGAAGGCCGGAAGCTGCGACGTGTGCTGCACTCCGCAGGGTTCATGGCACCCCATGCGCTGCTTGCGGAGGAATCTGACCATATCTGACCTTTGTGGGGTCCGTGTCAATTCGGTTGAGACTTGGAGGTGCCAGCCTTGGACCCAACAAGTGAGTTCGACATGCCACCAGAAGCAAATTAGTAGCTCCCCCATGGGGCATTCCGACTTTGAGGGTGCAAGGTTGGTCATTTTGATGGAACTCTCCTACGTTTTGTTTGAGCTGTTATGAATTCCTGGCAGCCTAACAGTCCCTTGTATTCTCCGCGCACGTTCCATCGCAGGGGGGTTCACCAACAACGAGAGGTTGGTTCCTTAGAAGGGGGAATGGCATTAAAGGGAAGCCGAAGGGCCAACAATCATTTGTGGGGTTTCCCAATGTTAGGTGTTGTTGCATTACGCCTTGGAATTTTATCACCCCCAACAAAGGTGGGGACATTGGCGCAGGGGATCACCCTGAAAACAGTCAGTAGTACGTAAATCCCATACAAATCATGCCCACCAAAGGGTCCCTATGTAAATTCACACTCACCGACGCAAATGGACAAACTCAGGGAAGTAGCAGACGTAGGCATCAAGCACCCTGAAAACTAACCCAAGACAAGAAGCAAGACCACAACTCACCATCTATGATGTTCCTGAACACGCCTCAGGGGTTTACATCCCATTGGCGTAGGATGGGGTGTCCTCCAGGCAACGCCAGGGCCCTGTGGCACCTCGGGAGCCTGCGGAACGTGACGCCGGTGCACTGCGCCGCAGGCGCGCACTCCGCGCCGCCCTACGCCAGCTTTGAGGCAGGGTCCTTCGGGCGGGCAAAGGCATGACAAGGGCTGGGTGCGCATGGGCACCGACCTTTGGACATTTTGTTTTTATTGTTTTTTCTTTCTGATTTTGCGTTTTGATTTGTGTGTTGATGTTTGTGCTATCTTGGTACCAAAGGGTTAGTTGTCAGTGTCCAGATCCTTTGCGCAAGGAAGCGGGCCACTGCCCTTCGACCGACCTGCAGGGGTCGCTGGGGGGTAGATTGAACGATAGTGTGAAAAGGGGCTGACTCACGTGGCTCCAACTAGAACATTTTCATGGGGGTTCTTTTAAAAGGATGTCCATCCACGCAGACGCGAGCTGCTTCTCCTTTGACAGAGAATGCCAAGGGAGAGGAGATGCCGCCATCATAGCTTTCGCAGGGCAATGTTCTCTTGCGAGGTTGTGCTTTGGTATGGAATTGCGGCTCCGGGTTGTGGCTTTCAACTTGGGCCGGGGGCTTGTAGCCATTTCACTCAACTCAGGTTGACCATCATCACGGCGAGCGGTCTTCTGTCCTTGCGGATCAGAAGCAGGAGCGTGAGTTTGTCGTAGAGGCGGGGCTCCTCGGGGTTGCTTCTCACTCCTCCAGTCTTACTCACCGACATGTCCCGAAGCCACTTGATCCCCCTGTCGCGAGAGGAAAGAAATGGGCGCGCTTTTCGAACGGAGCCTCGGCAAAAGAACAGGACAAAGTTGTTTGAAAGTGTACGAGCTCCAGAAAATGTTGCCGGTCACAAGAGGTAGTTGAAAGCACTGCCGTGACCAGCCTTGCTACGTGTACAGCCCAAAACTAATGCTGTTCAAGTTGGCCTGCTGCTTTTTGTGAGAGTGCTTGGGGCCCACAATTTATGCAGGATACCTGCATGTTAAATTCAGAAACACCTGATTTTGAAGACTGAGCGTAAGTAGACATTGCCACCTTTTCCAGGAGGACAGCGACGTGGTGCTAGTGCCTCGTCGTTCCTGTGGCTCGGTGTACGTGGACTTCGCGGGACCCAAGGGGGCGGAGTACGCCAAGATCGACCTGGAAGGCATCGAAGAAACCTACGGGGAATTCTACAGGAAGTTTCTGTTATTGTTTGGTTGTTGGTTGAATTCCTCGAGAATTTCCTGTAGATGGTTCATATAGGGAATAGTGACGGCGAGGGGCCCGTCTTGGTTTTCCACATAAACAGATGCGATATGGAATGTCACGTTGTTTTTACCAGGAATTACTTTATGTTGACTCCTTGCCTGTTTGGTTTCCTTCATTTCTCAGTTCAACCAGCTACCACCAACGGCAGAAACACATACTATGCTAACTGCTATGTGTTTTGCAAGACTTCCGGGAACTTCCACTCCGCAAACGGACCGCAATTGCCACAGCAATTGCATTTAAAGGAGAATTGCTTGGTAGATTGCACCCTCCCGGCCGCTAGCACGAAAGTGATTTGCCAGAGAGGCCTTCTGTCAGTGCCCGTGTAAATGGAGGTTCTGTCACGTGCTTGGCCACAGCTGGACTAAACCCAAGTCATTTGAAAAGAGACAAGGGGTCATTTTTTGTAGCTCCACTATATCCATGCACTGCTAGGCATGGAATGGACAGTGGCAGAGGCGCGGTGGAGGTGTACACGAACAGATGCAAACCCTCTCACATGCGCAAGCATTTGCTGAGGCAGGTGGAAGTAGGTTTGTGGCGGCCCCTTTGCTGCAGCTCTGGTCAGCTATGCCCTTGAAACCAAATCGGCGGGACAGGCGCGGCATTATAAATGAATAAAACAACTAAGGTCTTCGCAAAATAAGCAGTCAAAATGGGCGCGTTTGATTTGAAAAGGAAGCGCCCTCACTGTTGACGGACGGAATGTGCCCAACCCTCAGGCACACAGCTAAGTTGTTGTTGTAGAGCACCCACCTGTGCGCACCGTGGCCGTAAACATCGAATTTGGGGAGGGGGGTGACAGTACCCCGCACCCCCTAAGAGGGCTGCCACGCAGCAGCCCGTAAGAGGGCTGCCACGCAGCAGGTTCAGACCACGACTGCTTGGGCAGCATCTTGCGCAACAGCAGCCAGCGACTCGCGCCTTTGTTTGTGTCCATGGAGGCCGGTCTCGAGCAGGGCACATGGTACACATTGTAACTTGACCAGTCAGGCAAGGATTTCCCCTCATGGACTCATGGCTGCTACAACTTACAACTCAGCCTGGCACCGAGAACGAATTGGGAGAAATCTGCCACCATATGCACGGGTGCCTGTAAATTTGCGTTCGCATATGCTCGCCTAGCCTGCGCAAAGGGTTGTAAGCCTTACACTGAACCGTTTGCACCCTGCGTTTTGCGGCTGCGTGCTTGTGTCACGAAAAGCACACCTGATCCGCCTGCGCATGTTGGGTTCTTGAATCCACTTCCATGGACATCCCCAGTCCAGCAGCCAAAATTGACTTTGCCCCCATGAAAACCAACATGGAATCTGGAAGGTCCAATTTATTTGTGTCTAGGTTCCATGTTGAATTCGTGGCGGTATATCCGCAGCATTTGCAGGGCCCGCAGCTACCTTTCAAAACTGCAGGTCGTTGTTTGCAGGCAAGTGATGAGACTGGCCCACTAGCTTGGCAACAATCATATCCCACACAATCCACGTAGGCAACATACACCAACATTTGACCCAATGGGAGGGTAAATGTGAGTAAATAAATACGCCATACATGGAGTGCTTGGGCATGTGCACCATACACTTTTGGACTTTCAGGTGATGTATGGGGCTTTGTGCTCAACAACACCGCAAACTGTTCGGACATAAAACATGTACACCACACAGCGTCACCGCTTCCGTGAGGTGCAGTTGGCGAATGACAACATCCAGGTCATGCAGAGCCGCGCGGAGCGCGTGGCCCAGGATTTGATGGGCACCTTGCAGGGCACCTACTGCTGGGCTCCTCGGCACCTGGGGCTGGGGGGGTGGGGGGTTGGTTCGGGTGGGCTTGGGAGGTTGGGGTTGGGGGTTGGATTGGGGGGGCATATAGGGCCACAAAGACTTCCAATGAAAAGGGTTGTGCTGTGGAGTTTTCTTATACTGATTAGGGGTCGTAGAGACCTGACTGGAGACTATGCCAGCTGCAATGATGCACAATGCCACAAAGCTTTTGATTGAACGGATCAAAGGCATCAACAAGCCAACAGTGTTGCTTGTCCTTTTTAGGTTCCCAAGGTGGGTAACATCTTCAGTTAGTGACCTCCAGTAAGCTAATCTGCACCGCTGTTACCTGCTTGGGGGTGTGGCTTTTGTTTGTTCTCCTTTGTGATAGGCAAGCTTGAAGGAAACAGGGCGGCGATATTGCAGTGTCACAGTGCCATGAGGTGATCCCTCTTTCAGACGAAAGACGAAACTTCGAATTGAAGCACATAGCACCAAGTCACATCTTCGGATTTCGAGCGAGTGCTTGGGAAATATCATGAGCTGTTGCGCCTATCGCTGTGCCGGCATTGCTTCCATTGAGCGATTGCACTTCGAGACCATAACGGAACCTCAAAATCACCCAGCTGCAGCGGAAGCTACTTTTGGGATGGTTACCTTTAGGGGGGTAATAAATCAGTCTATATTTTTAGGTCGGCTAAATACGCAAAGAATTTGAACGCCAAGTTATTTGATTTCAGGTGCTCCGAAATGCAACGTAGAATGCCCTGAGCGAAGAAAGCTATCAGCCTGCTGACTAGCAAAGGCGGCTCGAAACAAGGCGATTTTGCGAAATTGGGTACTGTCCTGCAGATTCGAATCGAACACCAAAAGTAGGGAGGTGACAATTTTGGAGCCATGGGCAGGTGTAGTGTCAGCTGTTGGGCCCTCCCGCATTTCCAGCCATTGATGGCAGCCGCTAAGGCCAAGCTATGCCGTCAGCATATCTACAACATTCGGCAGCTGCCAGGCAAACTCTGGGTGGGCATTTGCATGTGCGGTGATCACATTTAGCTCAAGCACGGGCCTGAGCAGATTGACTTGGCAACTGATGCTGCGTACCCCCTGGTGTGGAAGCCTCTGTCCTTGTGCCAAGTGCTGATGCTTGATTCTTCTGTGCAAGGTATTGTCAAGGGACATGCATAGCTGCGTACCGTTCAAGGCAACCTGCGCATTTCTACCTTGCAAAGCAGGCGAGTGAGCTCAGGGGCAAGCAACAACTATCAAGCATATGGTGTGTATGTATGAATGTATGTATATATATATATATATACATATTTATGTATATGCACGGTCACCCCCCTGAACTACCTGCTCTGCCTCAAACAAGTGTAAAAACTGTGTGATTATGTGCTTTTGTTATACGAGCAATGTTTGAAGCAAAACTGCAAAACGGAATCCGTTTTGGATTTGCATCGCGCTAATTGTGAACAAATAGCAACAACCCTGAGTTGTCGCAACCTGGTGGGAATTGCATGCACAAAAACTGTGTGTGTTTGGCAACTTTTGTAGTTTGGAGAAGAACAACATTGAGACAGCCCAAAAGCAAAAAAAACAGCAAATGAGGGAAAGTGATGGTTTTGCCAAAAGTGTTTGTTTTGGCTGGCTTTCTCAAGGTGTTGTTGTGTGTTTGTTGTTTCCGTTTTTTGTTTTTCTTTGGTAGAAACAAACACCATGTTTGTGGTTTTCTGGTGTTTTGCGGTTGCTCATGGTTGTCCATCAAATTTGACTAAAGACAGAAACCCCGATTAGGCTTTTTGCTTTTGCTCAAACAAACCAACAACTATCAGTGAAAACAAAAACACAATAAACCTCGAGAAAGTCAAAAGCAGCCTGTTGCCAAGCCACAACTTTTCCTCAGAGTTTTCTGGAGGGTTTTTGGTTTTGCATCAAGCATAACTAAAAACCAACAAACCACTGGGTTTTTGTTTGTTTTACTCAAACAAAACCGGGATCCCAAAAAAACAAACCAACTCGAGAAACATGCAAAACACATCAACTGTTGGCAAAACCGGAGCTTTGCGCGGGGAATTGTTGGTGTGCTTTTGCGCTCCCTCCTTTTTGTCTTGTTTTGTTAGCTTATCCCTGTTTTGGGCAGGCTTGGTACTGTCATGATTGAGCCATTTTGGAGTCGCAGTTAAGGGGTGTGACCAGTGAACTGGGTTTTCGATGTTAGGTTGGAATCCAACACTTGGCTTTCAAGTCTGGGCCCAAGCCGCTATAGAGCTTATTTAACAGCCCCTATAAACGCTCCAGTACAAGGCTTCTTGTGAAGCTGCTTGTAAGATTTCTTTTAAAGCTCCTTGAAAAGCTGCTTACAAGGCTCCTTATAAAACGCTCCTTGTAAAGCTCCTTGTAAAGTTCGTACAAAAGCTCCTTATACTCCTTGCAAAGCTGCTTATAAGGCTCCAAACCAAAATCTCATGTTCTGGACTTCCATGACGTTGGTTTCAACAGCCGGCCATTCCCCGACGAGCGGTTGGCACCAGAAATGTGTGATCTAGTTCACGGCGCTCCTTGCGCACTGGGCCAAGATGGATGTTGAAAGTCTATTTGCATGTCACAGATGAACAGCATCAGGTTGCTTTATGCTGGCTGCACGTCATCGAGGGCTGGAAGAAGATATCCATCACATTTGTTGGTACGCCTATTGAAGCAGGCCCTCTTGCCCGTTCTTTGGCAAGTGTTGACCCCTTTTTGGCAAGGCTTGTATGAGTTCATATTGCGCTTCAAAGCTGCGCCGCGAATTCCTGAGGATCCTAGGGTGGATTGAGCCGCATGTCGTGACAGTGTCAAGTTTAAGTTTCGATTGGGCTGAAGCCGAAAGGATGCCCCAGCAGAACTAATGCAGTCCGTGGTAAAGCCCCCTATAAAGCTCCCTTCAAGGCTCCTTCTCAGGCTCCTTTTGCCAAATTGGATGGTGATTGAAGTTTAGTTAGCATGTAAATGGACTGCAAACAGCAAATAATTCAGTTGCAATTTCTATTGGCAATGAGAATCTAAAGGGAACTTCCTCTCCAGATTTGCTGGTAAGTTTTAGATTTTACTAGTAGAACATACACAGGCTTTAATAAGGAAAGAGTTCCACTTTACTGTCTATCTTCAATTAGAATCTACAAAGACATCCGTTCCATGAATAGGGCTTAACAAGGATGTACTATGTGAATTATAAGTGACCTCGTTTTTTAATGAGTGAATAAATGTTTGCTTAGAAGTGTGATAGAACTGAAGAAAAAGAGAATTGAATTTGAATGTCTATGTTGGTTTAGAATCTAAGCAGGATTTCCTTTTCAAACAGGAGCTTTGTAAAGTTAATTGCAACGTATTTCAATTTTGAATGTCTAGTTCGACTTAGAATTTAGTAGGAATTCCTTTCTCACCCAAAGTGCGCTGCAACTCAAAAGACATCTGAGAAGTCCCCACATGAGTTTTGGAGCTTTTTGGCTACACAATATTCTACAAAGGTAGTTCATGCGAGGGGGTGAGCGTATATTTGGGTGTTGCATGAAATAATTATGGGGTTCTTAAGGGAGGGGGGGTGTAAGGGGAGGGGGTAGTTACAACCCCCTAAATAAGTACAAGCTTCCCCAGCAATTCCCAGAGCTCCTTAGCCAACCCTAGCACTCCCCCCCTAAAAGATTCTTAGGCTCCCTTAAGCTCCCGCGCTTCCGCTTTGATTGTGGCTAGGTTGGGTTGGGACAAACGATGGCTTTACCCCCTCAGCTGCAAGCGCTGCTGGCCAACCCACAATTCAGCGGGAATGCAGTTTGAAAGGGGAGGGCAAGGGAAGCTTGGGAAACTCTGAAAATTGATTCGGAGGCTTGGGGGGGCTTAGGGCGTGCTTGGGGAAGCTTAGGGAGCCTTGGGAAGCTTGGGGAGCCTTAGGGAAGCTTAGGAGCCTTAGGGAGAACAGAGGCTTCTTCCTCCGCTGGGAGGCAGCTTGACAACAGCGGCGGCGTGGACGTATAGATGGTTTGTTTCAGTACATAGGACCTTCAGAAATGGAGTTCCAACAGCAATCTTCCATTGTGTTAAAATAGGGGGCACCAATGTGTATGTTCCTTTTGGTAGCTCGTTATCTACCCTCAAAAGGGCGCTTCCCTTGCGGCACTGTTCGGTGTCCCTGCAATGGTGGTTGCTTGAAGGCTGTGTTTCTCTTGTTTCTCTCGCGCTCTCTCTGTCTTCTTTCTTTGTTTCTTGTTTATTTTTCTCTTCTTTCTCGCTCTGTCTCCCTCTCTCTCGTCTTTCTCTTTATTTATCGTTCTCTTGATCTGTTGTCTTCTCTTTCTCTTATCTGTTTCTGTTGTATCTTCCCTTTCTCTCTCTTTCTCTTTCTCGTTCTTTGTCTCTTGTTTTCTCTCTTTGCCTCCCTCTCTGTGTCTCACCCTCTCTCTCGCTCTATCCCTCTTTTTCTCTCTGCCTCTCTCTCGCGCTTTAGCGCCGGACCAAACTGTACCTGACCCTGCAAATTTGCTGCCCTGCCAGGCAATTTGTACATGACTTTGCGCAAGTTCTTCGTTTTCCACGAAATCTGCATAAACAAATGAACATGAAATGTAATTAGGCTTATTTCTAGAGGAATCTTCCTTGTGGAACGGGGTTTTTCGGGTTGCATGACAATTTTGGTCTGGGGCGGGGAGGTAATCCGCTAGCTGAAGCAACTGAGCTTCGCCAGGCATGAACTTGGTGTCTCGGCTCGGCTGGGGCTCTTCCGGCCTCTTCGGGGACTTGGCGGTTGATTGGCGCGTTGGGAAGCTCCTCGGCGCGCGGGGGTTCGCAATTTGGGTTTGGTCAAAGTTAACCCTGAATGCTTCTGCCAGGTATCAGTAGTTTTCCTTCTTGCCATTAGTTGCGTTCCAGCTGGAATGCGCACTGGTATTAGTGCAATAAGGACACGTCCCGCAGCGGGTGACCTTTGTCCAGTGATGTTCCTATTTGGCGCTGATATCATGCGGGAAAACTTTGAGCAAGGGGATCAGGTTGTCAGTTAGAGTTGAGCGAGTCTGCCAAGCACGGCTACTGACGAGAGAGTGTCCTGTTTGAGGGCTACCTGAAGATCCTTTGTCGTTTTTTGGCACAGCCGCGCGCACCAAATTGGTCCAATGTGGACGTGCTGCTTGTGAAGGTAGAGGGGTTGTCCGCTCCGTTTCCATATTGCTCAATTGGTGCGGACTCTTGGAATTAGGTCCTGTACTGGTTGGTCTCATGGCAGGACAGAGCAGGCACCAGGGGGCCGTGGGTCTCAAGGAAGGGCCAGCCGTCCCTCGCAGCTGAAGCTCACCTTCAACCGGGTACGGGCAGGGGCAATCATGGATGGGCATCAGAAGGTCCTCTTCCGAAAGGATTCCTTCCATGTTGGGGGCTACATCGGCTTAATTTAGCTTTATGGTCCCCCAAACTTGCATTCTTATTAAGTGCCCCCCGACACTTTGTCTGAGGAGTTGGCGGCCCCTGCCGGTGGTGCTCGCTGAGCTGGTGCAAGCTGGGCTTCTGTCCACGCGCTTCGGCCCGTGATGAGATGTCTTTAGAGTCACCCAGGTAAAAATGCGAGCTTTGGCAGATTTATCTATGCCGGCGTTTAGATGGCTGATTTTCCCAAACTGCGCCAAGGGTCAAAGCGTGCAGATTTTAAGTATCATGTGCCTGCCCCGCCACTCTTGATGGCATGTTCATCCATATCGTGCTTTTTGTTGCCGTTCTGTCCGTTTGGCCTCTCGCAAAAGAGCCATCAGAGCCGCAAGGTGTGTATTTCGACGGCCCAAACAGCTACAAAGTGAGAGAGCTGCAGGTGGCTTCCCTTCATCCTACCACATTGCCCTCAGTATTAGCAGGCAAGTGCCTGTTTGTTCAAAGACGTGCTTTCTTGATTTTGTCATCGTTCACCCTGTTTGGCACAGGGCCCTTCCTCACCAAGGGCTGAGATGAATGGCACCCAAAACATTGCTTTGTTGGACAGCCCCAAGCACATGCACAGATGGTGCTACTTCAAAATAAAGCAATTCTACAGAAACAAACGCAAAGAAACACACAAGTGTATTGCACTATGTGTGGGTGGGTGGTCGCAAACCTTAGCTCACGAAGAAGACTGGGGTGTTAGCCTGGATCTAAGGAAGCTTGGGACCAAGTAGCAAAATCATTCAAGATCCGCTTGCCAAAGTGCAACTGAGCAAGCAAGACAGATTCCGAGGATGACTCTCGACTGGTTCGACCTCCACCTGAAGCACTGCTAGTGGTGCAAACAGGCCAGCATCCTGGTGGCAACCTCACCTGGGAAGGATGTCGTTCTCAAAATTACTGTGTCGTTGACTTCGCGGAAATTCCCACGGGTGCAGCCAGCCTTTGCGCAGACCAATGAACCCAGGCCAGACGTTGCTGTGGATGGATGCTTAGTGCCATGCTGAGCTGCACCTGTGGCAGACACTCGAAGATGGGGAAGTGAATAGTACGTTTTCGCGCGTGAATATTCGGTTATCCTGGTCAAGAGTCGCTTCAAACACTGTCATGGAGCAAGTGAAAGTCACGCTGGATCCTTTGGCACCTTCCCTTGTGGACTTGGGGCAGTTTCATCTCTTCCATGTTCAAACTGACTGCCAGGCGGGTCCCTCTTTGAGATTGAGGGCCCCAAGCAGTCTGCTTCCTTGATGTCAATGTCTTTTCGGATGTCCCTATCGTTCTTGTGCCCTAAGTTCGTTTGTTGTTTTACCCGTTTGACACCTGCAGCAAAGAAGTGACTTGCTCTTTTACATATCCGGCTTCAGTTGTTCTCCCATGACCAGCCGACGCGTGCAGCCCCCGCTGGGCTGAGTGCCAGTGCAGGTCGGCTGCTGGCCGCATAAATGCGGAAGCGCGGAAAAGCAACGGCTGTGCTCTTTGGGCGTGCTTCGGTTTCAGAGTGAATTGCACCCTGCAGATTGGCACAAGACCCCCAAAACGCTTCCTTTTGGAAGCACCCTGCGTTTGAGGAACTTCCTTTCTAGGTTCCACGTTAACCCGCAGGGAAGCAGTTCTCCTGTATAATATGTTTTGTGCAGTGCTTATGTACGATCACGTTTTGCATGAATGTGGTCGGTCACGACGGAACTTGTCTGTTCCGCTGCTAGACAACTCAGTCAATTCGGCTTTAGGTTTACACAGTGCCTCACCCTTCTTACCTACTGCAATTCCAGCTGGAAGCAGCGGGGGTGATGCACAAATCTTTGGGCGAAATTGCCATTTCGATGTTTCAACATGGCCATTGTTCCAGGACTTGCGGCTGGACTGCCTGACCGAGGCGGCTGCAACGGCAGCTTGGTGTCTTCCCCATTCTTTCAGGGATCCGTATGTCCACAAATTATCAAACGCCCAGGATGCTTTGACTTCTTCCTTGGCAAGACCTTACACCACACAGGTGTATGAAGCCCAGGTGTATGAAGCCACGAGATCCTGTGAGACCATGTGCGCATGTACCTCTAAGAAACACATGCTTTGCTCCGGGAATGCCAAGGATGTTCAATCAGCCCATTGCAGTTGGAGAAGCCGTTTTAGATCGCTGCGGTTTTGCGATGCTTTGTGCCAACAAAAAGCAACTTACTCTCACCCCGGGCATCACTTTGCCAGGCGGATGGCCGGGGAATTTGCACCTTGGCGCGGCCGTGGCCGGGGCCCCCAATTCCATCCCCCGAAAGATTTGGGAGGTTTTGGAAAATGCCCAATGTCCAAGGGACTAAACTAGAAGACCCTTCATGCAAAAGATTGTGCATGTCTGATATGCTGAGCCAGGCGACTGCGCTTGTGCTCTGAGGAAGCCCAGTGATCTAGTGTTTAAATCTACAGCGAGAACTGGATGCCTTTGAGAGTAAGCTGGAAAATGTCAAGGCTAATTTGCGGTAGCCAGTTCCAGGACGCTCATTCACGCGGCGCAGACATGAGTGCAGAGCCTTTGCCCGAGGACAACAGAAAGCATGCAGCCCTGAACGATCGCTTTCGCAGCTTGCTTTTGGAGTATTCAAAGATTTGCTTGGCATTGGTTTCGCTGAGGTTCAGTCCACTCTGTGAAAGACAAGGCCGGAGCAGTTCTGATGATTCGATTGGTCAGTTCCAAGCGGCTTCCACGCTGGATTGCAGAGGCTGTTCTATGACCAACTATTGACAGGGGATTGAGCCCTATCAGGAACACTCAATTCACCACAAGATGCACCAGGGCCAAGCAAATTGATGTTCAAGTTTTAGTCGATAGTGTTGTCAACCCTACCAAGAGGGATAAACAGTCGGGGCAGACGTATTCAAGTTTCAAGTTACCATTCCAGACTTGCGTGTGTGTGTGTGTGTATCAAGCTTGTTTCTGTTAGTGTCCGTTTGTTTCTGTGATCCTTCATGTGTTGTGTTCTCAGTATGTATGTATGAAGTTTGTGTTCACCTGTTTGTGTGTTCTTTATTAGTCAGTTTATTTGTCTTGTTACCAGTAGAGCTCGGCGGAAGTTTCAATCGTATAAGAACTATAGTTGTAGTGTCCTTTTTCTTGTGTTCCTTTCATATTTATCTTATTTATCTTCTGTTTATTATTTGTCTTTTTCTCATGCAGTATTGTCTTTCCCTTTCTCTTTCTTTGTCTCTGTCTCTTTCTTCTCGTTCTTTCCTGAATGCCTGTCTGTCGAGGAGATGATTCGCGTAGATCACATACCTATACTTAGTTGTATTTGTATCTTTATCTATTTGTCTCTGTCGACCTGTCTTTCTATCTAACCTAACCTAACCGAACCTGAACTGAATCATGTAGTTAAAACATATGTTTGCTTAACCTTACGTACTTCTTTGTTTACTTGTGTTCTATTTGTTTATTGTAACTTGTAACTATCCTTTTAGGTTGTTTGGTTTGTTTTGTTTGCTGGTTCGTTGTTCACGTTCTACTCTCGAATTTGGACTATGGCGCGGAACCCGTAATTTGACAGAACGGGACTGTCCGCAGATCGGGTTGGGCGAGTCGCAAATCGAGCCTGCCGGACAGCGCAAGGCCAGCCCGTGGCAGAAGAGGCGTGGATGGGGTCGCTTTGAGGGTGGCATCTGGGTTGGCATCGTGACTAGTTTGCTTGCTTTTCTGTTGCCTGCGTGCAGCGTGGCGAGTCGCTTCAGACTGAGCATGTGTGCCTGACCCTTGCTTTGCACCAGGCCAGAGTCACAAGTGGGCCCGCGGTTGATTGCTTCCCAAAAGGTTGGCTGCACAGTTTCTCGGGCTCTCTTGGGTAGACTCTGGCCATCAGTGTCTTGTCTTGTGTGTGCGCGAGCGTGCGCGGCAGTAATGCAGCTGATCAGGTATCCCTTTTGTTGGCAGTTCAGCTTGGTGATTAGCAAATTGATCCCCCTGGTTATTGTTTCAAGTTGGTTGGAGTGCCAGTGATATCCAAACGGCGAACCCAAATCACCAATGCAAGAATATCTGAGGGTGGCTGAGTTGGAGAAGTTTGCACCATGGACTGGGGGGCCTGTAGCCTGACGATGCTGGCAGTTACTGATAATTAGCACGCACCGCAGCGTGTGTTTTGTTCTCAATTGGTTTGGGGATGGTGGTTTTGCATCATGAAGTTCAGCAAGTGAGCCAGGACCGGAAGCAAGCCGGCTTGAAAGCAGTAAAGCCAACAAACCTGCAAGCAATCTGGTCCAAGCCAAGCCTAAACACACCAAGCAGCGCAGATCTATCAAGCCATGTTGTTTCCTCGTTGCGCCCCCAATGTTTGCTGTTTGTGGTGCGAAAGCTTGAGCCACCTGGCAAGTCCGACGCTTTGCAAGGCTTCGCTGCCACTCTCAGCTTTTCTTTGGCAGGCGGAGCCGACATGTTTGCATTGGCGACCCGGCCACTACGAGACTGGCCCCATGATGTCACCATTATCAAGGTCAACTCGGGCGTAGGATAAAGCTGGTTAAAGTTAAACGGAAGAAATTCCAATGTGTGACCGGCAGGACCCCTACGGCTTAGGGCATGCAAAGCATGAAGCTACCGGGAAGATTTAGCGTGGTGTTTATGGATAGCTGAATAATGGACATGGATAAGAACAGTGTGATAGTGACCGGTGTTGAAGGAGCTGCTTGACAACGGGCCAACCTGAGACAATCTGGGAAACTGCGGCAACACAGTCATGTGCGGAGGAACGCGATGGGCGCTTTTTGTTGAAATGTTGGGCATGCACGAGGGAACTATGCCAGCAGAGGCCTTGGAGGCCGGAAGCGTCTTGAGCGTCCGTTGGGCCCCCTCAAAAGTTTGCCACGTTCAGAATTTCAGTGTCAGCGCATTGCCACAAGCAATATTAGTAGATTTATGTATACTTTAGTTCTGCCTGACAGGCAGCGTGTTTCATCAATTGTTTGAAGAACGGTCAGGCTCATTGTTGCCGCACCGATTTTTCCAGGTAATGTTCACTTCGGATTAATCCTGAGGACCCTACCGGGACCCTACCAATCAGAGATGGCCCTCGGTCTAGGAGGGAAATGGTCTATTTTGGGAACTTCCTCGGGTACTCGGGATTAATCCGAAGTTCGCATTAGTTTATGGCGGTTCCTGAACGGAACGAAAGCCGACGTTGCCAAGCTTGTTTGCTACAAGGCCATGGCATGTGTGGGATTGCAAAATCTACTTTGTCCTTTAGCAAAGTATTTTCACGCCGCGACGTTGCGTCGCATTTGCATTTGCCCTGAGCCCCGAGCAAGGCCCGGCCAGCGGTCCGCATCCAGCCACCAAAGGGTCCGGGCGCCCTGGGCTGTGGGGCACCTGTGCAGACATGTTGGACTCAACGAGTTCGAGGTTAGGTACGGTATGATTTCATTGAGCGTATGCGAGGTCATGTATTCGTGTGAGTTGCGAGTTCGTTCCGACACATAATTTGTGTTGCCATTGGCAACAGTTTCAGGCCAAAGGCCCTTCATCGATCCGTTCTTGGCGTCATGGCATGGTTTCCTGCAGCTGCACCTGTGCACAGCAGTCGGTTCTTTCGGTCTGATCATGTCTCCCACAGCCTCCCGAACAAGTTCCGGGCAAGTCCCGGAGAAACAATCATGAGGCAACTGTGTATGGGGAGGGGCTTGAAATTTATGAATTCCCGTTGGTTGCCAAAATGCAAAGAGGCGTCAGAGGTGGTCAAGATCATTCTGACATCTTCTACGTGCTGTTGACACTTCATTTCCAGTTATATAAGCCAGCAGCGAATGCTATAGGGATGCGCAAGGGCGAGTTCCCAGTATTTTGCGATCATGTGGGATAGGTGAGACTTACAGCTTGACACAAAGTACCACTCGAACAGCTACTCCCTACATGTCCCTGCAAGAAAACACACTAGGACAGATTTTGTCTTTGCGCCATTTGGCTCCGCTTCATAGGCCACATTTGGTTGTTGTTATTGTTTGATTCTGGGAAGCGGGCAGGCGCATAGCCTCCGGCTCCGCAGCATCTGAATTTTGTAGCTCAAGGCGCCAGATGCGCGTTCAACTAGCATTCCCGAATCCATGATAGATGCGAAGTTGCCGAATGTATTGTTGCTTGTTTCATGATGGTTTTCAGCAGCACCACTTCCAGAAAGTCAGAGGGGTCTGGCATGTTTCTTTTTGGGCTCTATCATGTACTCCGGGGGCTTAAGCCTTATTACAAGTAGATTCCATCACCTTGAGCAAAGCTCGAAGCCGAAGCTGTGCGCCGTTCTCCTGGACGGTTCTCCCAGCACTTTCAGTTTTGAGTCATCTGACATCTGCGGGCATGGGGTCCTCAAACGTTGAGAGCTTTCACAAACAAAGTCTTGGATCCATGGCCGACACGCCGCACCTGTGCTTTAAGCCTCCTGACAGCTGCGTGGCCTGGCAAAATGTGCGTTTTTGGCAGATGGGGGGTCTCCATCAAATCACTTACGATGCTTGCACCCTTTGAGAGTGTGGATGGCGCCATTGAGGCCCTTGTCAAGAGGTTAGCCCAGACCTGAAGTTTCACCTGAGGAGGCTGGACAATGAGTGCCCTCTCCAAGATGAAGGCCCTACAGCTATGTATTCAATTGGTCTGATTTCCCCTCGAAGCACATGCTAAGCCACCCTTCAGCATCCTTGGGCCAAAAACACGTGTTTTTTTTCCAGTCTTGCCGGTAAGGATTGCTCGAATCTATGTGCAACCTGGGCAAAATGACGTCTGACTTTATCTTTGACAGCGAAAGGATTTTGAAAGGGCATTGCGAAGCCAGCTGGTGAAGCCGAGGCTTTGCCAGTAACTATGATTCATGGAATGACCCTACTAGCTAGTGCATGAAGGAAACAAACTGTGAAGCCGACTTGTCGATCCCAGGGTGTTAGCAAATCCTGATTGATGGTAGTGTTTCAATCTATGTTCGATTCAAAGTTCGATCCCCCACAAAGAACACTGACAGCAACACACGGCTGATGTCAATCATACGTCACCCACCCGGGTCACCTAATGGACTTGTCGATCATAATCCACAGCTCAACTTGGCACCAGGTTTTGAAAGCCTCCGCATATGAAGACTCAGAGCGCTGGGCCGCGAGGCTGAAAGAAGTGGTTCTGGGGTCGTAGCCTGAAGATCGGTCAATGGCCATCTCAGGTGCACACCTTCAGCTTCAATCACACCAGCTACACCGGGTGCACCACGGTGACACAGTCCGGCGAAGGTCATCCCTGGTGCACCTTGGCTTAGGGGTCCCGGGTCCCCGTTGGTTTTTGCCTACTTCGGCGAGATCCAAACCGGCATTCTCGAGGAGTTTGGCCGCAACATCAGTCTCATAGGTTTGCTTGACAAGAGGAGCGCACACTGGCTTGACTGCTGTTTGTGGAAGGGGTCGCCATTCATGGAGAACGCCAGGAATTAGCTTCTTTCAAGTTGCTTGTGACTGCAGTGGCAGTCTTGCAACTCTTAGCTGCACTTGGCCATTCACTAGCTGACTGGATCTGGCTTCCGACCCCCAGGACCTGGAATATATAAGCACTCAGCGATGCAAAATATTCTTCTCTCTTGGCCTCTCTAGTTGTCCAGAGTTGATCCAGTTTAAGTCAGTACCCCGCAAAGTTCAGCCTTTGGTTGCAGGTCCCATGAGGTTGCCATGAGTGACTAGTGCCCTCAATAGGCAACGCGAAGCAGCACAAGTAGACGCGCGCATGTGTGCGTGTGTGGCGCATGAGCAGGAAGTCTGCAAGTCTGCGCGGGGTTCTAACGCGCCAGGCTGCGATGCCGTTTCTTCCAAGCCGGGGGTAGTTTTTTGCTGGTAGCGGAAGACCTTTTGGAGAGATGGACGAAACTTACCTTAGCGCAATCCGAAGGGTAGTTGTTCATCCAAGCTGATCCAGAAGGGAGATCAGGACAGACCAAGGCTCCTGCACGGTTGGGTTTGTCTAATTTCAGAGATGAACACCGGCGGTTGATGGTAGGAACACCCCCCCTAAATCCCAAGACCCAAACGCACCAAAACCCCAAACAGCCAATGATGAATCTGACGGCTCGCATTGGGCCGCACCAGGTTCCCATGTGCCGCATTTCATTTGGGGGCACTCGCCGTGGAGCTTCTGCCTACAGGCGGGATGGGATCAGATCCGCCTGTTGCAACTTGCGGGAACTGGAATGCCAGACAGGTGGTCCCAGATAGCGGCAAGCAGCTTCAGATGTGCTTGATTCATAGCTTGTGATTGCCATATCAAAGCCCGTTTTGTCGCAAAGGCTAGGCATGGGCTTGCAGAGTTACTTTTTGACCTCGCGGGCTTCTAGAAGAAGAGACGAGCGTACATGCCAGCATGCACACATTCCAATTCAACGCGGCTTGCGCTCTCTGACGGGTTTGGTCAGTCGTTGTGCAGACATCGGTCTTGCCGCTTCCCAATGTAGAGTGGCCAACCCTAAAACGCTTCTTGTTTTTCTACCAGGGACACCGGGCAGCTGGGGGAGTCTTTCTGACATAAAGATGCAGATTGGTCTTTGACGTGGTCAGGGCCGGGACCTTTCCAAACCCGAAACTGCCGCGTCGGTGTCAATGCGGGTGCTGGGTCTTGTGGCTCCAAACGACTCCGTTTTGAGCCTTGGAAGCCAGGCTGCCTGGCCATCCTTCTGTATTCTCAGTGACACGGATGCTCTCAAAAAATATAAACTTCCCAAAAGTAGAGGTCCAGCGTAGGAAACCCAACATGCAACGGGCTCTTGAAATCGTAGGCCTTGCAGATCCAAGGGCCAAAACGGGAGGACAGCTGGCCCCCGGCTTGAGGTGCCTTGCGAGAATCAGTCCCAGGCAGCTTTGCCGCTGGCTTAGTGAGATGCGTTCGACGGTCTCCTTCCGTGAAACGTGGAAGTGCACAGGATCCCTTTCTTGGGAAAGTAGTCTTTCAAAGGTGTTTTGTGCACTGCTTTGTTTGGTGGGGGGGCTCCTCTTGGCGAAAACAACAGAAGTTCATCAAGGTTCCATGTCTGACGGATCCACACGTGAACATTGGATGTCCCTCTCTGAGTTGGGGATGTCCGCGTCCCAGCCTTGCAACGAAGACAAGGATGGAAGACGCGCAAGACTGGAGTGCTTAATTAGCTGAATTGCTGCTTGCCCACATAGCTTAAAATGGTCCCTAGAAAGCACTTGCAGCAGATTGTACGTCCGTCCAATTGCAACAGAGGAGGTCACCGCGGCAGATGCTAAGTGCTTTGGCGGCTTCACCCACGTGATCTCACCCAATGTGAATTGCATCTGAAATCGCGTCACCCGCTTTGTCGGAGAGCGTTTCAACATATGAAAGGCATATTTGGCAGATTTGGCGTACATGTTTAAGCACATCATTGTCAGGGCCGTAGCGAAGCAGATGCCTGTGCAGCAACATGCATCTGTGCCCGCAAAGCACATAACCCGTCCCTTCAGTCTGTGTCAGTTTGTTTCACTGCAATTCAGCTGTGTTGTGCAAATTTTCGCGTAACTATATATATATATATCATACTTGCCACACTGGGTTTTAGTTGCGGTTCACCTTCAAATTGGGTCTGAGGTTCACCCCTGCGGGCATGCAGCGCAGCGTGATGCTGAACCTTCTGGTGGTGGTCATCGGGCTTGCTGTGTGCACAGGCCCGGGCAGAGCAAAGGTACGGGCAGGCGTGGGGATACACGGAATGTCGCTAGGGGTTCCCTTCCAGGTCAAGCTAGGCTGGTTGGCTGGCTGGTTGGCTGGCTGGCTGGCTGGCTGGCTGGCTGGTTGGTTGGTTGGTTGGTTTTGCTGTTAACGTGGTTTGTGTCGAATTGGTTTGGGCAGGCCTCCAGGTCAAACGTCCTGAGATGGAAAGCTGAGAGGCTTAGGCGTTGCATGCAACAAACAAAGCAAGGCAACCATCCAATTTTGGCTCTGCTTGCAAAACTGCCCCAGAAGCCTACTTGGTGAGTAGTTTCAAAGCACTGCCACAATTTCTAGAGCCCTGCTCCCCCCACTTGGGCTAGCTTGAGGGGAGCTCAAGAGGAAGAGGAGATACCCAAGCTCACTTCATGACGTCGGGGAAGCTCTTTAGGCGCAACTCCAGGGACGCAACTCGGAACCTGTTGGGTTCCGAGCTCTGGATAACAGGCAGGACTCTAGCTAGATTGTTCTAGAGTGGCCGGCCAGCCATCAGCCGATGCCTTCAGCAGCTCACCCTGCTAAAATTGCCGGTATGCTTGCGCTGCGGATTTGATGCTTGAGCTTGCCTATCAGGGAATTCATTGCCACGGCCTCGCGTGGCCCAACACAAATTCATCATT